TGATTATCACAAACAATGGTGACATTACAAAGGTGAATGTAATCTTAGTTGACCTTAAACATTTTGACCAGTTTGATCTATTTTTCCAAGCTTTTAAAACTTAGTTATATTTAATTTTTTACTCATCTCAATAAGTTTTAAATTGCAACTAACAAATCTACCAAAACATTTCCCTCTATAACTTTTTGTTTATTACTTAGTCAAATACATGAAATTACTCCAAACGAGAGATGGGATGCATGCAGTCTCACATCACACTCTTGAAAGATGAATTATTTTTTAATTTTTTGCATCGATACTTTTAATTTCTAAATAAGGTTGATAGGAGTATTTTGGTACAGATTCTCCCAACTGTAGATTTAGGACTTGGTGAAGGGTCTCCTGCATCAGGTCCTGACTTTTTTCAGCTCTTTTGAGAAGTTGTATTTCAAGAAAAACATTTGTGGAGTTACACTCATATCTGCTCCATGTGTTTCCACAGCAGCTTTTTAAAGAAAACCTCACAGGATAAAGGCTTTGTCCGAAATCACTCACTAATCACATTGTTTCCCACAATGCATCATGAAAAGTGGTACACAACCGATGGTCAGTAACCAAGCAATATATACCAGAGAGACAAGAGGAGCGGGTTTAGACCGACCTGTCAACGTAAATGAAGCAGAGCAGTGCATCAAAACGCAAAGTGCTGGAAACAAGTTTATTCCTACATTTAAAGATGATCATTCAACATACTAAAAGGTCCAGTGTGTAAGATGCGGGTGATAGGGATCTATTGGATATAAAATAATCCTAGTCATCTAAATTGTATTGTATCAATTGTTGTTTTCTTTAACCTAGAATGGGCTCTTTATAGTTATATACTTTATATTTACATCGGGAGCAGGTCCTCTCTACAGAGAGAACTAAACATCTTTTGGGTTTTTCTGATTGAAGGCGGCCACAGGCTTTCTTACATGTATGGAAGGGGAGGGTGAGGTGAGGGGGATTCAGCTGCAACATGCAACTCCAACACTAGATGTCACTAAATTTGACACACTGACCTACACTTACCTACAGACCTGAGTGACTACGGTCAGGACCATGGTCAGGACACAAAGTGGACAGAGTGGGTTGTGTTGCAGGGGGCGTTAAAGCAACATGGGCTGCAGATGTCTTTGCTGCGCCCCTGCTTTAACAGGTACACTCTGCCTTGCTCCTCCACTTCTTCTCGGTCTTGTATTATCTCACACTTTGACTGCCACTTATAAGAAAAACATCCCACTTTCCTTGTTGAACAAACTGCGCCGGGAACGACGGCCTGGTCCTTTCTGGTGATTCAAGTGCGGAGCTCCTTTCCCGGGCAAAGCCCCTGAACCTGATTTGGATTCAGCCATGCAGAGTCTGAACGAGGCCGCTGAGGAAATGCATTGTCGGGGTTTCTTCGGTTCCGCCCCGCAACATGGATAACGACGTGTCGGCCAGTGAGAGCGGAGCGCTGTGGCGGAGGTTGTTTATGTGAGTGCTGGGTTAGGGTTCCGCCCACCGAGGTATCTGTGAGCGCAGGGCAGACAGGCAGAGTGTAAAATGGCGCACAGCTGTCGGTGGCGGTTCCCCGCTCGGCCCGGAGGGAGCAGCAACTCCGGTACCGGGAGGAGAGCGGGCCGAATCAGGGTTACTGCCTCTCTGCGGAGTGTCTCGGGAGGCCACCCCAACGCAGCTGGGCTCGGACCCGGGTTTGATGCTGCACTACAGGTCTCTTCGGTCATCGGGAGCAACCTGCAGAAATTTCGGGATGTTTTGGGGGAATCGAGCGACTCGAGCAGCGGGGAGGTAAGCACGGGACGGGACGGGAGCAGAGCCGGTGGAGCGTCGGGTGGGACCGCTGCTGGGCTCGGTCCCCCTGGAGAGCTGCTTCTCACAGACCAGGAGCTAACGGTTACTCTCTGACCATCTCCCCCTCGGTGGGGCTGGGAGCAAACTTGTCATTGCCCAGGATGCAGTTAACTTTGAGTTGGTTGTTGTGGCCTTAAACTCTCCGGTAACGTGTCACCGTGGTAACTTCAGGCACCGGCTGGTTATCACATTTATGTTCTCAGCGGTTCTACCTGAGAGAAAGTTTCCTCCTCGGTGGAGTGAGAGGAGCATGCTACATCCACAGTTTGGATGAGCAGCTGCTAGCATCAGTCTGCTAACCGAACCAAAACATTGTGGAGAAACCCTGGTGTTTTCCGGGTAATTACATCACACAGCACGGTCAACACACTGCACAGACACCGGTACATCCACTGACTGTCTGTGCTGTGTGTAGCTAAGCCGTTGTAACTGGTTTACTAGTTAGCTCCTTGACATTAGCTTTGACGTGAAGCCTTCAGATTCATGTCACATCAACGCACAGCAAAAGTTCTCGTCCCGTTTTAGCTTTAATACGATGTCTACACAGTAACACAGTGTTTGAATACGTCTGTTTATTTTGAGGACGACTGCTGAGAGAGTAGCATCCCGGGACCTTCATGGTAGCGTGTGACGTGTTTGAAAACAAGACATGTCAACTTGAGGGAGGCGAGAGTCTACAATTGTGGTTTGTAACTAGCTAACGTGAACTTAGCGTCCGTCTGTAGCTTCTCTGGGAGAGAGGCTGCTCATCATTCGCTTGATTGGCTCATTACTATCTAATAATCGGTCTTTACACGCGTCACAGCTCAGTATTTACAGCGTGAACCCAGGAGCTCGCTGTTTGAGGTTGAGGTGCCAACCACCCAGCGAGGCTCGGCTAACATAGCTTGATATGTTAGCTCGCAGGCTAGCTGTCTACACCTCACAGCTAAAACCACACCATTATCCCCCCCCGACGTAAGCGGCGTCAAAGTTGCAGCTTCGCCCGGGATGCTGCTGTGTTCAACCTCCGGCCAAGCACACATCGGGTTAAAGCTTTGTAGCCGGAGTTGGCGGAGCTCGCACACAAAAGTAAATAATTTCCATGGCTGTGTTTCGGTGGTGTGCTAGGGCAGCTACCATGCTACGCATTACGCCACGCTAGCCACTGGGGCTATTGCTGATGCATAGGAAAATGGGAGGGGGACATGTTTTCCCCGTCTCCACACAGCCACTACGTAGCTTGTACCAAAATAATATCGGGCTTATAATGCTCGGGGGTGATGTCTGGTGCACGGCCACACGTCCAGAATCGCCCCCCTCGGAGCTGGAGTGCTTAGAAGAGTGAATCTACGGGCTTTGGTGTGTGGATGAGCTTGGTTTCAGCAGAGAAACGAGACTGGATCGTGACAGTGCGCATGCAGGGCTGGCTACAATAACAACGAGCTCCTTCTTGACGAACCGTGTGATGTGGGGGTGTGTTCGCCTTAGCGAACTACCATCTTCCTTCTCCATGATGAGCAGCACGCGTTCATTGCAGTGGGAGCACGCTGTGTGGGGATGTTTACCATCAGCTCCACTGCTTCCAGTCTCATCTGGTTGAAGCACAGGAGTATTTGCATACACACTACTTTGACATTTAGTTACGCTTTTATTCTGAACTTGAAAATTGCATGGATCTTGAATACATTTTGAATGCAGATACTTGGGAGGTTACAAAAACTCACCAGTGTTGCAGTCACGTTTTGCAGAATATTGGAAAATATATTATTATCATATTAACGTCTTTATTTCACAGTATTGTAGAGAAACATTTTTATTTGAAATAAGACATTTGGAACCATATTGTTACTTACAACACCATGAGTCCATGTGACCACATACAAGCTGAAGATTGTCAACAGTTCAGACTGCAGCAGTGTTTGATTTAAAAGTGCAATATATTTTAAAACAATGCGTTATAATGTTCTGGAGAAACACATCTTACTTGAAATGCAAGTTTTGTGTTCAAATAGCTTTTTAAGCTTTTTGAGCTCCTCCCACCCCCTCTCTGAAAGACTGAAAGCTGTGAGTAACAGAGTGAACGATGTGTGTAGACGCAGGCAGGTCTATTAAATTACTCTGCAGGTTGAATCATAGAAAGATTTTGGACACATTATAGTGGTTGTGACGTACATTTGTGCTTTAAATCACTGCTTAATGTTACTCTAGAGAAACAGGTGTAACATCATCCATTCAAGCAAATGGTGTTTCATGTAACAATACATCCCCTCTGCCCTAACTCAAGTGAATGAGAAGATAGCAGTGTTTGGATTCGTGGAAACAGGACTGGACCATTAAACCCCCCTGGCACCTGAAGCCAGTGGACGATGCGGACGCATCGTGGGGATTTAATAGAGAAGCAGCGTAGTGCCTGTCTCGCCAGAATGGGGCAGGATTGTTCAGTGTCACACTGCAGCCTGCTGAGCTTACAGGGCGACCCTGAACTGAGTGCCAGCCTAACACTTTGTCAGCCCTCCTTCCTCCATCCAAGCAGAAAAACCCAAATCCACTTCAGACACACACAACCCCATCTGAGAGGCAGAGCAACTTTTCTTCTGACAGCTGCCACTTTGGAATGGATCACTAAGCCTATTGGGGTGGCTCAAAAGGGTTCTTGTCGGCCGTTGCTGCCTTAATGAAGGCATTTGTTGGCTTTATGTGTGTAGGGAATTCATTTTCCTGATCCGGCCAAATTGTTGTTGCTTGTTTTGATGCTGAATTTAGTCTATGTTGACTTTTTTTTGTAAACGTGTGATCTTATCACCCCCCACAACCTCACTGTCCAGCTAATCAGGCTTTGCATCATTTTCCCTTTTTGTCTATGCTCCGTTTTATCATGCCTCCTGCTGCATCTATCCTTCCCCCATATCATTATCAATGTTTAATCATTCATACAAAAGTGCAGCTGAAAAGATGTATCAAACTAAATGTCTCTTTGCCTCACTGGTTTGAGAGAAATGGTGTGTTTGAGCGGAAGGGGTTTCAGTCCAGCAGGTGTTTGGCCTATTTAAATCGAAGACAACCCCCCCACCCGCTTACCCATCCCAGAGACAGCGTGTGGATTGGAGCAGGAAGCTTTGTGTCTGCTTTATTCTAGCTCTCACAAAGTGCAGGCGGCTGAAAGAGCACAGGCAGGGATATCAAAGGGTGTGGGGCGACACCCCTCCTCCCAACGGGACAACGCTGGGAGGAGAATTAGTCACAGACCCTCCCATCCATGGCTTTATACTACTACAGCAGGCGGGCAAGGAGCTTTCACCTCTGCCTTAGGAGTTGCCTGACTGGGAGAAAGCGACAATTGTGTCGTCTTACTCTTTGTGTGTGTGGGGGTGTGTGTGTGTGGCTGGTAGGGGTGTCCCTCAGACTTTATGTCCCTTATTGCACCCAGAAGTGGGCATGCCTTCTTTGTCTTTATTTTGATTAGAACTTCAATTCAAGTGGCCTACTTGGGTGGGTAGGAGGGTGTGTGTGTCTATGGACCCCAGCCTGTGTGTGTGCAAGACAGACACCATGCACACATGCCAATCAGTCTGTTTGTCTTTTTCCATTGACTGTTTGTGTCTCCCTACTTGCGAGGTGTAGGAAGAGAAGGTACCTTTCCCCGGAAGGTCTTTGTTTTGGTTTGTGTTCCTGTCGAGCAAATGTGAAACAGTTGCACTTAGTGTTTGGACACATGAAAAAAACAAATGTCCACCTTTTGCTTGGGGGCTGACAGGGGTTACAAAACAGTCCCACCACAGGGTAATTCCTTCTGGTGGAGGAAACAAGATGTTTTAGGCAGTGAATCAGAGTGGATTTTAAATATTCTTTCATATTACTCATGTACACTGCTTTGTATAATTAGTAGCAGTAGTTGGCTTGATTCTTGGAATTCTTCTTTGGCCTTTTTGAAGAGATATGTCATCAGAGGGCCATATATGAGTATGAACTCATCTCCAATTTGTATTCCAGGAAAGGATGATGCATAGTGTCTCTACAGTAAATGTAAGAGGTAAGCTGCTTGGAATGTGTCAAGAAAATGTGTGTTCTTTCTCAGAGTAGTAGGAAGAATGACCTCTTAAGAGCATCAGAGTGACTGACAGGGTCCTGACCTGACAAATTAAACATTTATTTGACATCCTTCCCCTCAGTCTGAGCCAAACTCGTACCACTCTTTTCCTCCCCATTATTCATTCAGACAATTTTCTATCTTTAAGTGGATAACGTCTTAAAGTTTCTCAGTTTGCTTATTCATTGTGGCTCTTATGCATTTGTTAGCAAGATTTGTTTGAAATCTTGATAATTTATAAATTCAGGCTTATGTTCATTTTTGCATTTATTTAAATATGTCGGAGAGTAATGTGTTGCGGTGTGTGGGGTTAGGTAGCTGAGATGAGACACTTGTTTTCTAATACGAACAGTTTCTTGTGTTTCAATTTAACTTCTCATTAAACCATTTTATGGTATTTTTGGTTTCTGGTTTAGGAAAAAATTTAATGGACTACTTTCTAGCAAAAAAAAAAATAGACTGCTCCATTCTCTTTCTTCCCTTGTTAACTCCAAATCTTAACTGTATTTCTTTCGACTGTTTTCTCATAGAATAAACTTTACTAGTAATGTAGGTTTTAATCATACGAGTGGTTGTCAAATCATGATTCTGAAAAGGAATGTGTCAAAATGCCCCAGAGTCTCATATTACGAATCCCAACACACATTGATATGATTGCAACTTTAGCTTACATGTAGTGAGAAAAGTAATACCTTTAACTGTAATTGAGTTTTCAATTAGCTCATTTAATTCACATAGGTAAGAAAGTACAATGGAGTATGCTGATATTAATAAGTAGCAGTAAGTCTATCTGGTAACAGATTCATAGTAGTTTTGTTTAAACAAAAGTCAGAACAAGCTTCTACATTGAGCCTTTGTCCAACTCTCC